CTTTCTCAAAGGTGGCTTGCTTCTCTGATCCCCAGTCCCACACATGCCCTTTATTTACCAGGCAGTGTAAGGGTGGAGGCACTGTGCCAGGTGGGGAATAAAAGTTCTCTAAAACCCCGAAACCTCCACAAAGGCTTGCACTTCTTTCATGTTCTTAAGGGTGGGATAGGCTTGCACCTTATCAATTACAGCTTCTGGGACAACGTGCATCTTACCCAACCAAACAACTCCCAAAAACTGTACAGCAGTGCCTGGGCCTTGAATTTTCTGTGGGTTCACTACCCATCCTCTGTCTCACTATATTCCAGCAAGGTCTGCAGAGTGTACTGCAGCAGAGGCAAGTCTTCACATAGTAACATTATACTATCAATGCAATGTGCCCGTTTTACTGATGTGGGGAAGGAGAAGAGGGACAGATCTCAGGCTACCATCCCATGACATAGCGTGAGGATGTGCAGGTAGCCTTGTGGAGGCACTTGAAAGGTCCATTGTTGCCCCTCTCACATGAACGCAAATTGAGCTTGTGACTCAGTGGCCAAGGGTATACTGAAAAAAGCATTTGCTGAGTCTAGTACAGCATGGTTCACTCCTAGGACCGTGGCCAAGGCGTCTAAGATGGTGGCACTGTTGGGCACAGCCACATGGGGGCCCTACCTCGTTGAATTCTCAGTAGTCCATGGTCATCCACCACGAGCCATCTGCTTGTTTTTTACTGGCCATACTAGGCTGTTGAAAGCACTATGGGCAAGGTATACAATATCCACTTGGTGCAGCTCTTGGATAATGTCTGCTGTGTCCTTATGCACCCCCCCCACCCCGCTCCAGGCACTTTATATTGTTTGACAGTTACTACTCTTCGTTGAGGTGGTAGACTTACTGGTTGACGTTTCCCCTCAGCACTGGTTTGATTACTTTAACCCAGAAGCAGAATTCACCAATAGAGATTTGCGAAGTTTGACCTTATAGGATATCAATACCCAGTATGTTCTTTGGTATTGAAGAGATAACAACCTCATATTCTTGTGGGGGAGAAGGCCCAATTTGCAGTGTCAAAGGGACCTTCCTGATCATAACCGTTTGCCCTCTGTAACCAGCGATGGTGTTGAGGGGTCCAGAAAAATTCCGAGGGTTACCATGTATTAGAGTACATTCGGTTCCAGTATCAACTAGAGCCATCACTTTTTTTTCATTTCTAAGGGATCAGTGAATAGTGAGCTCAACATGAGGCCCCCGATGGCCACCAGTGGCCCTCACCTGGAGGCGATCTTGGCCTGCATGTTATACCCAAGGCATGAGAGGCACCTACCCTGAATAGGACTGTAGCCTTGAGGTCTCTGCTGGAGTGGGTGAGGCATCAGAGGTGGTAGGGGCAGATGGGGCAAGTCTGAATTGTTCAGATTTTAAGGCTTTCCATGGGCTGACCAACACAGCATTAGGTTGTCGGTCTATCTACTCAGGTGGGGTCCCGGCAGCAATGAGGTTAAATCACATTTGTTTCTGGGTTACTTTTACTGGACCCTTTACAGGCCATTGAGATAGCCTTTTGACTTTTTGAGCTCCCTCTGTCTTGGGTCTTTCCTGCAGCCAGTACCCATTCCTAGGGTTTTTCAGTTTCCCCCAGATCAGCAGTGGACTGCCCAACATCATAAATGTTTTGTCCCACCACTGGGCTCAGCTGGATATCAGTATTCCATACCAGGTGCTGAGGGCAGACTGGAGTATCTCGGCTTTCATTCCTGCAGTTTATGTGGTCCGATCAGGCCTTCAGAGACACGGTCATAGACGGCTTGTCTCATTCCCAACTCCCTAAGAATTTGTTGTACCTTCTCTATAGATTTCTAGGGTCCCGCGTGCCCAGGGAGATCCCCTTCATGGGCCAAGCCTCCCTGCAGGTTAGAATAACCCAATCTATAAGGGAGTGAGTACCTTGAACCCCCCGAGCACCATGCAGGTGCTGCCGATGGGGGGCAAGGTATGTGGTGGTATTGCTAATTTTCTCTGTCTCCTGCCCCATTAGAGAATGCCATAGCCCCCTCATATCCCATAGCCATGCTAACCATGCCTGGATACTTTGCCTGGCCTTTTGCTGAAATGTGGCAGCTATATCAATAAGCTCAGCGGGAATATATTATCTCATCAAGAAAGTTTTCTGAACTGGGGGCTGCCCCACTGATTGGGGTTGTTGTTGCTTTCTTTTGTATTAGGGGTTGGACAACATGGGGCGCTTTGTCCGTTTCACTGGCAATCACCACAACATCCTCCTCTTTGCTCTCCTCACTTTCCCAGGGATTCTACCTCTTAATGTCCCAATCAGGCTTTGTCACCAGCACTTGGACCTTAATCGCAGCAACTGGTACTCTCCTAGCTTTGCAAAATGGTACAATAAGGTCTCCAATTTATTATCCTGCTCGCCTACCTTGTCTGCCAGCCCTGAATGTACTAGAGTAGTGGACAACTGCATGTCCTTCTCTAATCTCGGCTCTTCTTCCAACTTTCTAACTCAAGCTTCAGCTTCTACTTGGGCATTGGAGGTCAGCTGAACTGCCTACAGTAGAGGCCAGCCCACTGTAGCAGCCATTTGTCTCCCTTCTTTGCCGCAGTGTACTATGCACAGTTCTTCAAACAAGTGCATCAAACTGGCTGGCAATCTCTGGGCATCCCTGTACCCATATGGCAGTCCACAAGCATCTAACATAGGGGCCACCCTTCCCCACATAGAGGTTGATGGCCAACTTGGGATTTCCCCCACAGATGCCTCTTTCCAAAGACCCATTTCTCTGGTCTCCTGGCTGGCTCACCAAATTGTTGTTTCACAAACTGGCCCCCATACACAGAGGGCAAGGAGAGACTGAAGAAAGAGGCAGACCACTCCAGATTGGTAGGTGGCGGGTATAATGAGCAAGGGAACTTACATATGAAGCTTGTCTTGGGAGGCCGAAAGATGAGTAGATCTCTGCCCCTGCCCCCGACCCCCAGAATCTTGAAAGTTTATATAGAGGTTAAATGGAGTTTGTCACATGTTCTCAACAACACCTTACTCTCTCCTGGCTGTGTCCTTGAAACAGCTCCGACTATGGGAACAGTGGGCGGAACATCCATTTCAAGGACAGGGGAGGGGGTGAGGAGCCTCTGATTGCCCAGGTCCAGCTTGTGGGTCAACCAGCAGTCATGTCCTCTTGATGACCTCTTCCAACAGGCAGCTGTGGTGACTATGATGAGATTGCAGAAGCAAAGCACCCAGCATGTGCCTGGCACTGGGTGGGCTCTTATCACATGTCGGTTCCCTTTACTTGGTTTCTTCTCCTCATAGTGACAAGGCTGCTCCAGGTGAGACATGAGGACAAACATTGGATAGGCATCATCATACTGAATGCCCACAACCACCCTGAAGGCTCCTTGCTGAAAATGCGTGAGTGCACAAGGCTGGCCTGGGGCCACGCCGTGCTCAGTGGAAGGGCTAGGCTCAGGGTTCCACTCTTACCCAGAGCAGGACGACCCTGCCTGCCTTCTTCCATAGCAGGAAAGGGTGGTCCTCCCTCCTCAGTGGGCCTTGGACCCCGAGCTCTGGTCTGATCCTGTCCTGTCTTGGTTGTGCCAGCCTACATGAACCCTGGAGTGGGTGCTGGACCATCAAGGACTGAACAGGATCATCTGGACAAAGGAGAGTGAAGCTCAGGGCACTGGCAGGGACTGGGGTCCATCCCTCCTATGGTGTGGGAATAGAAGAAAGATGGAGTCTCTCATGTTAAGGCACAAAAATGGAGCTGGGCGGACAGGAAGAGGAGAGGAACAAATTCCTACTTCAGGATGAATTCTTGAACTCATTAGGTGACTGAAATGCATCTGCAAGTCTTCTCAAGGATGATAAGATTATCAAGACAGAGACCTCATTCCAAGGATGATAAAATTATCGGGACAGAAACCTCATTCCTATCAGAGTCATCTCCCACATTCCTAAGTTTAATGGCTTGTTTCAACTGACCCTCACACTGATGATTAATCACCTTGTGCCTGGAATTTGTTAAAGGACATTCCTTCCCTGTTTTTTCTTTGCCCTTGTTAGCCACGACTGTAAAACCTTCCTTCTCCCTTTCAGTGGCAGAAAACACAATTCAAGGGCTACTTGAATTTGTGTTTTTCCTGGGCTGCAGTCCTAACAAACCCCAAATAAACTTATCTTTTTAAGTCTATCAGAGTCTACCTCATAATTGGTTGACAGGTGGCAGGTATTGGAAGGGTCCCTCTTGTCAGGGTGCCTTGCCCCAGGCTGTGCTCCTCAGTGGCCATAACCCCGTGTCCTCAGGCCACCTCCCTCCTGGGGCCTGTGGGCCTTCCTTCCTCGGTTGCAGATGCTGCGCTCCGCCCCGGCCTCCCTCATCCAGCCCTCTGCCCGCCTGCCCACCCTTACCCTGCAGCAGCCTCAGCGCCCCTGGCCCGGCTTCTCTGGGGAGGCCCTGAGGGGGGCTCTGAAGAGGCAGGTTGGGTCTAGAGTGGGGGAAGGGAAGCAGGTTTCTGGTCCTGGTGGTTTATCCTCTCCAAAACTCCGCATCCTCCTAGCCAGCAGGGAGGCAGGGGACCTTGCCATCTGCTGCCGCTGGGGGGCCTCCAGGTGACACAAAACCATCTGCAGTCTATTTCACCTCACCTCCCCCAGCCCACCCTCGGGGTTGAACTGAAGTAAGTGCTTTCTAACACCAGGCTCTAAAATGAAGACTTAGGTATTAGGTTATTCAAACGAACGTTCTGTCTGGGACAAACTGTCACCTCTCGGGCCAGGCCTATGCTGCTGACTTCTCCTCACGGGGACAGTGGTCCAGGTCAAGTCGGGCCTCCGAGCATCCTCTGAACAGGCCCGACATCCCCGCCACAGCCCGACCCCCCTACAGCCCTCTGAGGGTGCTCCCCTCCGTAGCTCCTGGCCATCAGCAGGGTGACCTCACCACCCGCCCCTCTCTCCTCCAAAGCTACAAGCTACCACATCACACCAGAAACAGGAGGCCTCCAGTTTTATTGTATTTTATTGAACTCAAAGACTTATTATTTTTTACTTAGACAACAAGATGTGACAACACCAGGAACAAGACCATTATCTCTGACCAGATTGTGCTGCCAGTACAGAGTTCACACACAGAAAAGGGAAAGTCGTCTTACTCAGGTCGGTCTTTGATTTTCTAGAAGCTCTGCTGCCTGAAAAGCAGGCTGCAAATAAATAAAGTGCACTGAGAGCCCGTCGAGCAGCCAGGGCCCAGGGGAGGAGGGAAGGGGGGGAGAGCAGAAGCGTGCTAACTACTCAAGGCCAGACGGTAAGGAAAGCAGGGGCAGGAACTCAGGCTGAGGACCCACCCCCCGCCAACCCCTCTGAGCCCAGCCAGCCAGAGCCAGAGCCATCTGGACTTGCTGCGCCCCTCTGTGTGGGGTGGGGCTCTCTGAGGAGAGGAGGTCTCTGAGGCCAGGGCCCCTGAGGCTGTGCCCTGTCTGTGGGGAAGTGGCCTCCTAGGCCCCAGGCAGGTCCAGCTGAGCCGCTTGCCCAGGGAGGGCCAGGCACCCAGTGCGCTCATCCTGCCCCACAGCAGCACCCCACCCCACCACACACGCGCACACACTCACACTCGCACACACGTTCAGTGAAGAGCCTCCCTCATGCCATTCTCAGGCCTTCCTCCTCCCCGCCTGGCTGGCTCAGAAAGATGCTGGAGTCACCCAGAGGGTGACACCTGGGCTTGAAAGGGGCACATCTGTGTGTCAGCCCCAAGGAGGCCCCTCGTCCTCCTCTCCTCTCATGCAGCCCTGTGTTGCTCTCATCTCTCAGAGGCTGCCCCGGAGATCGATGGATGGAGTCAGCAGGCTGGCAGGCTCCCAGAAGTGGTCCTGGGTGGGCAGAGTTGGGGTGGAAGGGGACCACTGGGACGGGGGCTCCCAGGAGACTTGGCACAAGGAAGGAAGCCATCAGGCCCCGTCTGTGGGAAACTGCGGGGGCCACATGGTGGCTCTGGTCCAGCCTCAGTCCCTGGGATGAGAGGCGGAGATCTTCACCCAGGACTCAGGCTCCTGCTGGGCAGCTGAAGAGGGCACATGGTGTGGGAGTGGGCCACTGTCTCTGGGCTTGAACAGGCTGCTGCGGTTTTCAGTCCCAGGGACTCTGAGTACGTGGGCCTGGAGCAACCAGTGTCAGAGCAGCTGTGGGAGCAGGGTGGGTGGTGAGGGCCAGGGTCTCTCCTGGCGCCCCTCTGGGCTGCCCCTGGCCATCCTGGTATGCCAGTCAGCAGCACACCCAGGGCCTCTAGGACCAATCCAAGCCCATCCAGAGGAGATTCTCCTGTGTGATCCTGGGCTGAGACTGGGGACAGAGAGATGGGGTCATGTCCCATCCCACCCCAGGGTTAGCCCTTCACCCTCCTGGTTACATCATGTCCCACCCCCACCCCTCCACCCAAACTCAGAGGCTTGTGCCACCCAACTGCTGTGGAGCCCTTGGTCAAGCCTGAGGTAGGGGTGGGGATTGGGGAGGCCAGGCTCTGTGGGTGAGGACCTGGGCTCCCTGTGGGGGGCGGGGGGGGGTGCTGGGATTCATCTCTCTTGTGCCCTTCTCAGCTCAGACTGGCCTCCTGGTTTTCCCTCTGACCTCTCATATGGCTCCAAGTAAAGCTGGTTCCACACCTTCCCCACCCTGGACCTCTCTCCCCCTAGGTCCCCTGGGAGCCTTGTGCTCCCCTCCCACATCCCACTGTGCCAGGTCTTGGAGAAGCCTGAGGGTCAGCTGGGGGAGTGCAGGCCTAAGGGCAGATTCAGCTCCACCACTTCTTATCTGTGTGACAAGGGACAATCCCTATCTCCCACAGAGCCCCAGTTTCCCCAATCCGTAGGGGAGAACAGAACCCCCTCATGGTATTGCTGGGAGATCTCAGGGCCCAGATGACAGGGTCTGTCCTTCCGCATGCCGGAACCTGACCACTGGGCTACCTCACCTTTCAGGGCCTCTGCCTGGAAGGCCCTTCCTCTCCTCCTCCATCAGGCCTTTCCCTCAGCTGCTCCCCAGGCAGCTCTAGGGCCAGGGGCGCCCCTGGGCAGCAATTTGACTCTCTTGACAAGGCCAGAGAAGGGGCGGGTCACCACCTACACACAGCAGTTCCTGAAAGACAGAAAGAGAGGGAGACTTGAGAGTTGCCCGCCACCCCAGAGGTCCCCGTTTCCCCAGCTGTTGATTCCTCTACAAGCCCCTTCTCCCTCTGCTCTCCCCACCCAGCCGGAGAGCTGCCCTCTGCTCAAGGAGATTCCCATTTCCCCAGATCCTCTGGGTACACGGTGGGCTGCTGGAGGCCGTCCAGGGCTGGGGGAGGGCATTCTGTGGCACCGGGAGGGCCCTGGGAGGGCTGGAGGGAGCATGGCTGAGATGGTGGAACAGCAAGACCCTGGGGGGAGGGCGAGAGAGGAAGAGTCTTTCCCACTCTTCCCTGTCTGCAAACGCAGGGCTTTGGGGGAGGTCCTCAGAGAGGGCGGAGGGGAGCAACCGGGACAGCAGGAGCAGGCAGAGAGCGGTCCCTGGCCCCAAAGACAGGGCAGGAGGCAGTCTGCAAAGGGCTGTACCAGGAGCTGCAGAGAGCCCCAGGGGCCTGAGGACCCAGAAGGGGACAGACCTGGGGAATGTGTGGCCAAGAATACAACCATCCTTCCAGGTGGTCTACCCCAGGGGGTGGAGGAGAAGGGTGGCAGCATCTTTTCTCCTCTAGGGTCTGCTCCCGGCCCAGGGGGGTGGGGACTGGGCTGTGGACTGGAGGGGACGCCCCGGTCTCTGTCGGTGATGGGCTGACCCTCCGAGATGCAGATGCGAGCTGCCTAGGCTGCCGCCGCCCCTCCCCCCATCTTGCCATCATGACACGGGGATCCAGAGAGCCTGCGTCTGCCCTGCCTTGCCCCTGCTCGGCTCCGCAGCTTTGCGGGAGGGCTTCCTGGGGTCCCTTCCCCCAAACCCCCAAGGGACTTGGACATCTAGATGTCATGGCAACCGCCTCCCTCCAGCCCGCCAGTCCAACCTCTGGTCACCTACCTTGGTGGTCAGGGCCAGCTGAGTCGAGCTCCTGCTGCAGAATTGCTTCTTTCTGGTCCCCTACCCCCTCGGCCAATGTGAGGCAACAGGTTGGCTGCACTCAAATAATTTTCTCGAGCCCGACCGAAAGGGCCCGTCTTACGAGTTTCTGTGCAATCTGTCATCGGCCGCGACGCGTGTGGGCTGGTGACGGCCCAGGCTGGAGCTCGGGTCTGGCGCAGGGGGTCGGTGGCTAGGGGTCGGGGTCTGGCGCAGGGGGTCGGTGGCAGTAGGGGGTCGGGCCGGGCCGCTGTGGCCGCGGGCGCTCACTCGATCCGCACCTGCAGGCGGACGTTGAGCATCACGGAGGCCACGACGTAGAAGTAGGGGAAGTTCATGCGCAGCCGCCAGGCCAGGTCGAAGAAGGTGAGCAGCGTGCGCGTGAGCCCCTTGCAGAAGGCGCCATAGGAGCCTCGGGCCGCCACCGAGCGCGACAGCCGCACCGCCAGGCCCGACAGGGCCGCCGCCGCCGCCGCCGCGGTCAGAGCCACCGACGCCGCCATGGGCCCGGGCCCGGGCAGGCCCCGCCGACCGGCCGGAGCGCGAGCGGGCGGGCAGGTGGACGCGAGGTCTAGAGCGACCCGCCCCGGCCCGCCCTCAGCCTCCAGCTCCCCGGCTGGGCTCGGGCCACAGCCAGCGCCGCAGCCGCCACCCCTCCTCCGCGGCCCAGGGACGGCTCCGCCCCCTCGCCGGCTCCCTAAGCGGAGGCCGCCGGCGGAGCCCCGCCCCCAGCGGAGCCCCGCCCCTTGCCGGGCGCCGCAGAGCCGCCGCCGACACAGCCCCGCCCACGGCCACGCCCACGGCAAGCCACACCCATGAGGCCGTCCCCTCCCGGGCTCCTGCGAGCGGAGCCCAGGGCCTGAGCGGCTTGGAAGTCGGTGACCCGCAGAGATCGCTCTAGCGGAACGCTCTAGGGCAGAGTGGAGGGCCGGGGGTCTGCACCGCCATGCTGATTCTGTACAGCGCGCTCCGCCGTTCACACCATTCCCCCGCGTCTCCGCAGAAAACCCGGCCAGCCAACCCGTTGTAGCTTTCTCTAATTCGCATTCATTTCTCTGGTAACTCTGTGGAGCGTCAGCAAACCCACACGCGCGTTTTTTCCTTTCTGGTGTGTTTGCTGCTCATGTGTATTTCTTCATTCGTGAATTGCCCCATTGTCCTTCCTTTCACCTGTAGGGGTTGAAACACTTTCCCTCTACTCTCCTAGGTTCAGTACCCCTCTTCGGTCTGTGCAATAAACCCACTACAGGCAGATTAACAGGAGAAAAGGTATACACATTTATTAATTCTTAATGTTACGTGCACAGGAGCATCACAGGGAAAAAACAGTGAACACTCAGAAAGGCAGTGAGATTTGCAAGCTTATATACCGTAATCTTAAAAGGGGAGGAGGAAGGAAGATGTAGGCAATTTCGGGGAGTGAATGATTTTCAGAAAAGATGAACGGGTCCTTAGAAGAGCAGATGGAAGGCGCGGTGATTTGTGCCAGTTTGCCTGGGGTGGTGTGCACTAACAGTCCCCTCTCCTCTAGTAAGAGGCTATCTTCCCCGGCTGGTGAAACTTCCAAGGAAGGGACTTAGGCCGGTCAAGTTCCTTCTGGAGGATCTGTCTTTAGGCAGATAAGGGGATTTCAGAGAAAGCCTCTCCCTGCATTTGCTGTTTTTCAAGTGGCTTCAGCTCAAAATAATCAAAATATCTAAGGTGGCATACTTTGGAGTGGCATGTCCTGAACTCCTTGCTCCCCCCTAGTGATTTCTAAACGCTCTTCATCCATTGTTTGCCCTGCGAGCTGCACAGGAGCTTCTCAGGGTCTCATTTGCTCTGGTTCATAGCCTTTTTCTTGCTCCTGGGCATAAAGGCCTTTTCACTGTTGCATCTAAACTTGTTAGTCTAAGCCAAATCTAACCGAAACTCCATCATGTTTTCAAGACTGTTGAAACGCTCACGCTTCCTCATAGTCATGAGTTTTAAAAGCCGTCTGCAAGAAGTAGATTTACCAGGACCCCATCCCAGTTTTCACAGGGAAGGCTGGGCTGAGTATTAAGGCCCTCTCAAAATGCCTGTTCACTGTCACACCTGAACATCTCTATGAAGTTGGGGACCTCAGGGTTACTGTAAATATTTAATAAGAACATGATTACCCTTCATCCTTGATCCCCACACAGACACAGATGAAAAGAAGTTAATCTTGTTAACTTGCTGTTTTCTTGTTTAACCGGAGGAGTGACTTGTGGGTCACAAGGATTTATGAGCTTGTTTTACAGAAGAAAAAATACCGTTAAAGAAATTATGATCACCAGATAACCAGCCCCCAGCTGCTGTTGATGCCCAGAATTCTGATTGTCCAAGGGCTTACCTGGAGTGAAAGAAAGACAAATTTCCCCTTTGTTTCTCTGAAACTCCTCCTCCCAAGCCCCTTAGCTCTATAAAGACCCCCTGCTTTCTTCTCTCATTAGGGAAAATTTGAGAGAACCTATCTTCCTGCCTTCTTGTTTTGGCCAATTTTAATAAGCCTTTCTCCATCTCCAAGCACTGGTATCTCAGTGATTGGCTTACTGCCTGTTGAGCACACGAACTTGAGATTAAGAGGTTCGGTATCATCTATGGTATCCATGTGACTATTTAAGAAACCCAGCAGATTCATATACACTGATTGGGCAGTTGTCCTAGCCACAAGGAAAAAAAGGGAAACCTGAAGTATCAAGAAAACTGAAGGAGAGCCAGCCCTGATGGCCTGGTAGTTAAAGTTCGGCATGGTCGGCTTCAGTGTCCCAGGTTCACTTCACAACTCACAAGCAAAATATACAACTATGTACTGGGGTTTGGGGGAGAAAAAAAAAGAGGAAGATTGACAACAGATGTTAAATCAGAGCAAATCTTTCCCAGCAAAAATAAATAAATAAATAAATAAATAAATAAAGCATGTTTACAAAGAAAGAAAAAAGAAAACTAAAGGAGGTGGTATGGAGCAAGACTAATTGGTGATTCAATTTAGCATCCATACACAAATGTTACGTCTGTAAATACATGCTTCAAAAATGAAGGGAAATAAAGATATTCTCAGATGAAGGAAAAGAAAAATTTTGACAAGCAGATCTACCCTCAAAGAATGGCTAAAAGAAGTTCCCTAAACAGAAAGGAAATGATAACCTAAGGAGAATGGCACTTTAGGAAGGAAAAAGAAAAACTGGAATGGGTAAAAGTAGGGGTAAATATAATAGACTATGTTCCTCATGAATTTTTAAAATTATTTTGATGGTTGAAGCAAAAATTATAATGTCATCTAATGTGGTGCTTAATGTATGTAGAGGAAATACTTGACATTTATATTTAAAAGTAAGGAAATTAAATAGACCTAAATGGAAGTAAGATTTCTACACCTCACTGGAAGTGATTTACCTTGTCAATATCAGTAGACTATGATCAGTTAATATGTATATTGTAATGCCTAGAGTAACCATTAAAAAACTATACAAAGACATATATTCTAAAGCACTATAGACAAATCAAACAGAATTCTAAAGAATGTTCAAGTCACTCACAGGAAGATAAGAAAAGGGAAATAGAGGAAGAAGAAACAATAAATAAACAGAAAACGTATAATAAAATGTCATACTTAAGTCCTAATATATTAATAATTACTTTAAATGTAAGTGGTCTAAGTATACCAATTAAAAGACATAGATTGGCAGAGTGGATTAAAGGACAAAAACAGGGGCTGGCCTGGTGGCGCAGCCCTTAAGTGCGCACATTCCACTTTGGCGGCCCGGGCTTCACTTGTTCAGATCCCGGGTGGGGACATGGCTCTGCTTGCCAAGCCATGCTGTGGTAGACGTCCCACATAGAAAATAGAGGAAGACGGGCACGGATGTTAGCTCAGGGCCAGTCTTCCTCGATGAAAAGAGGAGGATTTGCAGCAGTTAGCTCAGGGCTAATCTTCCTAAACATAAAAAAAAAGGACAAAAACAAAAACCATGACCCAACTATATGCTGTCTACAAGAAACTCACTTCAAATTTTCTTCTGTAATTTTAAATATTTACTCATTCTTAAGCATGATTTTATGCTTACTATAAACAAACCATTTTCCCCAAGGTCCATAGGTAATTGTATGATGAAAATAAGTATCAGAAATTGAACTTGGAAGCACAGAATCTGGAATTGGTAAAGACCTCTCAGGCCATATAGTTTAATGTTTCGCATCATGGAGAACTTATTTTAACAATATCCCTGACCGATGAACAATTTTCAGCTGGTGTTAGGACAACTAAAATGACAGGAACTTTATTGCTTTTTAAGAAAGCCCATTCCTTATGTTGGACAAAAGCAGTTTCGATCTATTGGTCTAAACTGTAAATTTTGGAAAACGCAGTAGCGGGTTAATCCTTCTTCAGCATAGTATACCTTCAGATGGTTGAAGGAGCACTCATGTCTCCTTACTAAGTATTTGTTCTCTAGACAACATACTTTTCTTTCAATCATTCTTCATGGGACAACCTCCTTTATTGTTTTCTTTACCTTCCTCTGGAAACACTCCACTTCGTCAGTGTACCTCTTAAAATGAGGCATTGACAATAGAGCACTTTATTACATATGGTGGGTACTGGTATTATTATTATCATTATTATTATTATTATTATTGGTGAGGAAGATTTTCCCTGAGCTAACATCTGTGCCAATCTTCCTCTATTTTTTGTATGTGGGATGCCACCACAGTGTGGCTTGAAGAGTGGTGTGTAGGTCTGCACCTGAGATCCAAACCTGTGAACCCTGGGCCACTGAAGCAGAGTGTGCACACTTAACTACTATGCCACCAGGCTGGCCCCTTATTTTTTTTCCATCCAGATGTTTGGCTTCAGAAAGAATCAGATTAGGAAATATTTATAAACACACTAGTGTTTTTTTTAAATAACAGTTTTATTGAGATATAATTCATCTACCATAAAATTCATCCTTTTAAAATGTGAAATTCAATAATGTGTGGTATATTCACAAAGTTCTGCAACCATTACCCCTGTCTAATTGTAGAACATTTTCCTCATCCCAGAAAGAAAACCCATACCTCTTAGTAGTCAAACTCCATTCCTCTCTTCTCTCAGTCCCAGGCAACCACTAATGTACTTTCTATCTCTGTGGATTTGCTTATGTTGGACATTTCATGTAAACAGAACATAAATTATGTGGTTGTTTGTAACTGGCTTCTTTCACTTAGCATAAAGTTTTCAAGATTCATCATGTTGTAGCCTATATCAATATTTCATTTTTTATGGCAGAATAATATTCCATTGTATGAATAAAACAAATTTTGTTTATCTACTCATCCATTGATGGACATTTGAGTTGTTTCCTCTTTTTGGCTATTATGAGTAGTACTGGTATTCATGTACAAATTTTTGTGGTGGACATACATTTTTATTTCTCTAGGGTATATACCTAGCTGTGGAATTGTCAGGCCATATGGTAACTCTATGTTTAACTTTCTGAGGAACAGCCAGAGGGTTTGTCAAAGTGGCTGCACCATTTAACAATCCCACCAGCAATGTATGAGGGTTATAATTTCCCCACGTCCTAGCCAACACTTGCTATTGCCTGTATTTTTTATTATAAATATTCCAGTGGGTGTGAAGTGGCATCTCATTGTAGTATTGATTTTTATTTTTCTAATGACTAATGATGTT